ATGATGATGATGACAAGAATGATTAAAATTGTAGAAACACAAAAATTCTTTCTCCGTGTTTTTGGAAGCATTCCGTTTACCTGTATATAGTTATAAATACATGTTTATATACTACATATTATATAATAAACTTATATATCTAAAATGGCTACTCTAACTATACATTTCAGTCTTATTTCCTAATTCTATATACAAATGGCAGTATCATTTAGCTTCAGTTTTTTATATAGACATACCTTATATACTAATATATACTTTTATATGTACAATGTGATGTTTTATAACTTATATTATAGACTAGCTTCTGATTCACTTCGTTGTGGGAACCAAGACAGTTACTCATGTCCCTGGGACGCGCCGAACTTCAATGTTCCGGTGTTTTCATGGTTGTATCTACTGTAGATCCTGGCTTACAGGAGTTGCAGCGGTTTAGGGAGGTTGTGGCGGGCTTGTCCCAATTTAAAAAAATAGTAATATTGCGTGCAAAGTCTAGAAATCACACTGTACACATAAAAAGTGACTAAAAACTACTTAATACCTAAATCTTATCTAACCCTAACGCGAAATATTAATAAATGCATCGAAATGGCTATATACTTACACTAGACAATTAAAATAATACCTTAATTTATGTGGCATAAGGTTGATAATAGAATAAAACATATTTTAGACGGCTTTACTTAAGATAACTAGAGCAATCTAAATTAAATCTTATTGATATCAACCTTAAGACTTATATTAAAATGTGTTTTAATTTTTCATTGCAATGTCCCAAATTTTAGACCATTATTTAAGTCAATTTCTGTTCGCAAAGTAAATTGAATTCTATGATGTTGATTTTAAAGTACTACGTAGCTGACAATAAGGTATGCAATCAAAGATACACCTTAATGATTTACAGTCTTAGTTCATTTTTCAATAACATCTAAGTCATTGGACATTAATCTTTGTGGTAATAGTATTAAAGTCGATAAACAATTTGTGATGTCTCGTGAGGCCTGCTAACTTCATTTTCTAACCAAAATCACATATGTTAAAAATCTAGTTCAAATACATACTTACATCAAAGGAAACTAGACCTTACGTCTACAGAAATAAAGTCATAAATTATTACCATTAGTTTACAATGCTCTTAACCTTTTCTAGGACTTTTGTGATGTGAGCTAAAGAAAACTAACCATTACAAAAAGTCGTAAAGCACATGAAATAATCAAATAAAATTTAACCTTATATTAATAGACATAAAGTCTATTCTTCAGCCTTGTCCTGTGACTTCTGCGACGTGTTTTCCGAGGTGATGTCTTTCAATATGTCGGTGATCTGGTCATATATCTCTGTAAACTGCGGCCGGTCTGATGGGGACTTGCTCCAACAACGTTTCTGCGGATAAAAATTCGGATGAAAATTCTCCGCTTGTTCGAGCATTAACGATGATCAATGCTTTCCTGGCTTCCGCACCAGAGTGTGATTTGTTCGCAGCGAGATGGAAGGATGTATGTCGTGAATGTGTAAGAATTTGTGAGAAGATGGACGGCTGATGAATTAGTTTTAAGTAATTATAATTATTGTACTTTTTATATAAGATACCTATTACATATGTAGGTGTAAAATAGTAAATAAGTAACATTCTTTATTGTTTAACTGTATGTTTTGGCTTGTGCTGTAAAATTATACATGTGCTTATAAATAAATAAATAAATAAAGGGATTAAGATCTTAAAGGTGATTTTTCATAATTATGAGTCCCCAAAAAGGCTCGAAACTAGCCGGGTTAACTCGTCAAGCAGTTACGTGCGTAAATCATAATACATAATCAATTTAGATGTCCCACGAGAGTTATATAGAGGTATAATACAAGAGTGTTTGATGTAGTTTTCTTAATGTAATTTTATTAACATATATGCTCGGTATATGGCAATAGGCTCACCCCCTATTACATGGGACTCATAACATAAATAGTGAAAAGTGGGTGTTACATTGTGCAGTGGCGTTAAGTGCCGTAATGTGCACCTCTACCTGCTTCGGGGATAAAAGGCGTGATATTATGTTATGTTTTATTAACATTTATTTTAATGTGGTCTGTATAGAGTGTGTTCCATCAAATTGTAAGTTTATGGTTGTTTTTTAACTGTACGGCTGATGCAGTGACGAGACAATATTTGCGACTTCAATTCTCACATAGAACAACTTTGTATAGTCCCCCATGTGATGGGTATGTGAAACTGAAATAGGGTATTATTTCCTAAATTTTATTTGAATGTCCGTCTGGTAGATTATTATAAAACATTAGACACGTATTTTTTTCTTTTCTCACAAAATGAAATACTTTCGACGATATATTAATTTGAAATATAGTGTGACGTCACAGCGTGCCACATTTTGTAGCACGTTATGACGTAACGACCACTCCAAAACTTAGCGCCATTTTATCGAAGTATTGTAAGTTAATATGAGAAAATAAAAAATACGTGTCTAGTATTTTTTCATTACCTACCTGACGGACTAATTAGATTTTTAATTTTAATATCCTGGAAACAACCCAATGGGGTAGACGACTAATTTTTATTTTAATGTCCGTCTGGTAGATTATTTAAAAACATTAGACACGTATTTTTTATTTTCTTACGGAAACGAATAGTTTCGAAGATATATTGATTTGAAATGTCGCGTGACGTCACTTCTCAGTACATTTTATACTAAGAAATGACGTTTTAGCCCCCACTCCTAAACTTTGATTCGTTTTATCTAAGTATTGTTTTATTATACAACAAAATAAAAAAATACGTGTCTAATATTTTTTTATTACCTAAGTTACGGACTAATTATATTTTTAATTTTCATACCCTGTCACCATCCCCATTACAATATGTTTGTTTGTAAACGCACATCCGAGAAAAACCTAGTGATGAAAAATTTACTTACAAGTAGCACTGCTAATGGCTCAGGCATCGAATCCGGGATCGTCCATTCGAGAGTGCCTGCCTTCACTCGCTCCAACACAGAGTTGTCGTTCAATTTTGCGAACGGCAACTCTCCTTTGGTGTAGATCTGAAATTTTAAATCATTACTTATATTCAATTCTATTATGTTTAAGTATTATTTTCATAGTCTCTGTCTACCCCCATAGGAGACAGGCGTGAGGTTATGTATGTATCTTCAATTACATTTTCACACTTTTATATTTTTGTGGGGTCCGATGAATTCTCCCGCTCGGGACAGGAGAGAGGGAGTGTCAGACTCTTACTGACTAAAAACCACCCCGTTCCTTCTCCTGCACGTCGAGCCGGAGCCCCGGTAACCCGTTAGGTTCTCCGCGACTCCGAATCAGCACATTTTCACACTCAAAGATGTAACTTATCTATATTAACTGTCGCGGAGAACCTAACGGGTAACCGGGGCTCCGGCTCGACGTGCAGGAGAAGGAACGGGGTGGTTTTTAGTCAGTAAGAGTCTGACACTCCCTCCCGCCTCACCCAGGCGGGAGCAGTCATTCGATGATTTTCCCCCCTTAAAAAAAAAAAAAATCTATATTAACTAACTGCAAAGTAAGGAGGTATCGTTGAATAAAGTTTTGACTACAGTACTGGTTATAGGCACAAATTAAAAATCTTTATATTTTGCTTAACCTCGCAATTGAGTACAAGAACCGACGTGAAGCAACGCTTGCGTTGTGTTTCGTCGTGTGAGTGAGGTTACCGGAGGTCCAATCACCCCCCCCCCTCCAATCTCCCCAGTCCAAAATTTCTAAAAGGCCGGTAACGCACTTGAGACACCTCTGGTGTTCCAGGTGTCCATAGGCGACGCCGATTGCTTGCCATCAGGTGATTCATCTGCTCGTATACCGGCTTATGTCATTAAAAAACAAGATCATATTTTCAACACAGTAATCAAATTCAACTGATTTCTGACTTGTAATTAGATGGTAAAACTAATATTTTATCAGTCCGGGCGAACTGGTCTACCTGCGTTGAAAGAACTCTCACATTTTCAAATTTGAAAGACTTTAAACAAAGTCTATGTTTCATCGAAGTCTGTCTTTATCCATTAGTGGGACAAATGACAAGTAATTGAATTCCCTACCTCCCAGACGGTGGCCGCGAACATGTAGACGTCAGACTTGGTGGAGTAGTCGCTCTCTAGCACTGCCTCGGGGGGCAACCAACGGAGCGGGATCACCTGCAACACGGAATTATCGCATGAAACACGAGTAATACATAAAAATATGGTATTCAATACTTTAACTGTAAATTCCCATAATTCAATCAAAATATTCGAAACCAAAAATACTGAATTGCACACTAAATTTGCTCATCAACTAAATCAATAATACTATACTGTTAGATCTGTAAAGCTTGACTGTTTACTAGTAGACTATATTTTAACTAAAAGTAAATCTAATAATTCCTAACCTAACCTATTTTGAAAATTCCGTTGTAACATTGAACTATTTGTGTGCAAACCAGTATTTTTAAGATTTTTTACGATGTAATATGTAGTTAATTTGTAGTACAGTCATTTTTTTGATATGCAGTAGGTTCTTAGTGGACAAAATTTGGTTTGCTTAAATTTCCAAATAGAGGTGCAGTAAAATATTTAATAGACATACTAAATTAACTAAAAATTGCGAGTTACTCACGTGAATATACTGAGAAAAGCTCTACTACCTCATGAGCGTGCGCGCTTGCGGCGATGTCTGTAGGATGACAGTAGGCGGCGCGACATCGCCGCGCAAACCCCTCTGTGGTTCGAAACTAGTAGAGCTTTTCTCAGTATATTCACGTGAGTAACCCGCGATCTTAATTAACATAAAAAAAAACTTTTAATAAATGTCCGCGAAGAATATGATGACTGTTTTATCCCATAGAAGCATTTCATCAGTATAAACAGTATCCTATCACCTAAGTCAGCCCATGCCCGGCCTGTATACCAAATTTCTTCAAATTCGTTCAGTAGATTCAGCGTGATTGACGGACAAACATACAAAGCAATTTTCACATTTATAATATTAGTGAGATGATAAATGGTTATCAAGCTCTACAGATCAAGTCATTTCGTTTGATATACATAATGGAACAGTTGTTTAAAAATGTAGATTATATTGTATGGTTATCAAGATTAAGAGTGTGTACCAAATATCAGATAGATCTGTGAAATAAATTCTAAATTCTAAGAGATTGAACATTCGATTTTGATGACGTTGAAATATTATTTAAATTTTTCCATTATTCCCAAAAGCCGCTAACGCACTTGTAACATCTCTGGTGTTCCAGGTGTCCATGGGCGACGCAGATTGCTTACCATCAGATGATCCGTGTGCTCGTTTACCGGCTTATGCCATAAAAGAAAGTATATGAATGTGACCTGTTCGTGCAGCTTGTAGTACTCGTGCGAGTCAGGTCCCCGGGTGAGGGCCGGGTACGACAGCTTCAGCTGCAGTTTGGACGTTATCACGCAGTTCCTAGCCGCTATGTCGCTGTGGAAACAAATATTGGTGGTTAGTATGAGTTTATTTAGTTTTCTGCATGCAATGATACACGACTCCGTGCTACTGAGATTTTTAAAAACCCAGTAATACTTTGCCCGACCCGGTAATCGAACCCGATACCCCTTGCCCGGTAGTCCCACTTGCGACCACTCGACTTTATCCCCGACGCAGGCAGGCCGGTAGGGATACATATCGGTGTAGGGACACATACCGGTGTAGGGATACATACCGGTGTAGGGATACATATCGGTGTAGGGATACATACCGGTGTCGGGATACATGTATACCGGTGTAGGGATACATACCGGTGTAGGGATACATACCGGTGTAGGGATACATACCGGTGTAGGGATACATACCGGTGTAGGGATACATACCGGTGTAGGGATACATACCGGTGTAGGGATACATATCGGTGTAGGGACACATACCGGTGTAGGGATACATACCGGTGTAGGGATACATACCGGTGTAGGGATACATACCGGTGTAGGGATACATACCGGTGTAGGGATACATACCGGTGTAGGGATACATACCGGTGCGTGAACCTGTGCGCGGCGCACTTGGCGAGCGCGGCGGCGAGCTGGCCGCCCAGCAGCGCGCGGTGCTCGGCGCCCAGTGGGGGGGCCGCGCGCGACGGGGGAGGGGGGGCGTGCGCCGCGCCCACGCGGGATATATACTCCGCGTTCTCTTCGGGAGACCGTGTCGCTATTAGGAACTTCTTTAGTTCACCCTGTAAATTTTAAATTATTAAGATATTAATATCAAATAATCCGCACCATAAAGTATTTTGAAAGAAATTTTAGGAATTTTTTTTTTTATTATAGCTATAACTCAATCGGAAATGGAGACAATGGTGAAATTCACCCCTTCCCCTCTATGCGTCTTATTTTCATTCATCCACCATTATGCCAATTCAAGCAGAGCAGTATTGAAAATCCATTTAGAATAGAAATGATTAAAACAGTACTATATCCTATGTTCTCCACCCCAATCTTCCTAGAAATACAATACTTATAATAGGTTTTTTCACTGCACTTTTACCCTTTAGAGCAGGGGTTCCAAAGTGTGTA